CGCTGTGCGCGTGAGCACCCCGCATCCGAGGAGCTAGAGGCTCAGGGACCGCGCCCAGGCCCTGAGTTCAGGCCCGGGACTGGCAATAAATAAATGAACAAAACATCCAGAGTCATGAGAAAAAGAACATATGCTTTGTGTAAACACGAGGAGCCACTGAGGCCTGGCACCTGCGTGCCTGTTCTCTTTTGGGCTCACCTGGAATCCTAAGCAAGTTGTCATGTTACTTATTTATTGTGTCTGTGGTGGGGCCTGAACCCTGGGCCTGGGCGCTGTCCCACAGCTCTTCAGCTCAAGGCTAGCGCTCTGCCACTGGAGCTACAGCGCCACTTCCAGCTTTTTCTGCTTATGTGGTGCTGAGGAATCGAACCCAGGGCCTCAGGCATGCAAGGCAAGCGCTCTACCACTGAGCCACCTCCCAGCCCCTATTTAAGCCATTTTGAACCATACCTCCACCTTTTTGTAATTTTTTGTCAGTCATGGGGCCTGAACTCTGGGCCTGGGCGCTGTCCCTCAGCTCTTCAGCTCAAGGCTAGCGCTCTGCCACTTGAGCCACAGCGCCACTATCAGTTTTCTGGTGGTTTATTGGAGATGAGAGTTTCACAGCTTTTCCTGTCTGGGCTGGCTTTGAACCACAATCCTCAGATCTACCCTCCTGAGTAGCTAGGATGACAGGCTCGAGCCCTGACACCCAGCTCCCAGCGCATTTGGGAACTAACTACTGCACATCAGAGAAAACACGAGGTTTGTCTCTGATGTTGGCTTACCTCACTTAACATATTTGTGAATATTAGTATTATTATTTTTTGTCAGTTGTGGGGCTTGAACTCAGAGCCTGGGCACTGTCCCTGAACCTCTGTGCTCGAGGCTAGCATTCTACTATTTGAGGTACAGCACTACTTCTGCTTTTTGAGTGGTTAATTGGAGATAAGAATCTCATGGGAGCTGGGTGCTGGTGGCTTGCACCTGTAATCCTGGCTGCTTGGGAGGCTGAGATGTGAGAATCGCAGTTAAAAGCAGGAAGGAGAATTGTGAGACTTAAAACATTTTTTTGTTTATGCCAGTGGGCTTGAACTCAGGGCCTGGGCTCTGTTCCTGAGCTTCTTTTGCTCAAGGCTAGCACTCTACCACTTGAGCCACAGCCCCACTCTAGCTTTTTCTCTTTGTGCGGTACTGAGGAATCAAACCCAGGGCTTTGTGCTAGGCAAGCAGTCTACCACTAAGCCACGGTCCCAGCCCTGTGAGACTTGTCTCCAAGAAACTCCAGAAAACCGGAAGTGGTGCTGTGACTCCAGGTGGTAGAGCACTAGCCTACCTGAGTGAAAAAACTCAGAGACAGCATTCATGCCCTGAGTTCAAGCCCCACAAGAGTTTAAGCTCCATAAAAAGAGAGTCTCACAAACTTTGCTGCCCAGGCTGGTTTCAAACATCAATTCTCAGATCTCAGCCTTCTGATTAGCTAGGATTACATGTATGAGCCACTGGTGACTGTGTGTGTGTGTGTGTGTGTGTGTGTGTGTGTGTTTTAATACATATGAAGTAGTTGTCCTTCTGGTAGGGTTTATTTAATTCAACTGATATATTACATTCTTGCATGTTTATTCCTTTTTAGTGAATGAGTAATATTCCATGGTGTGACTAGACAGTGTTTTGAAAGCATCGGTTTGAGTAGTTTCACAATGCTCCTGCCTTAGAGACCCTCTTTCTTAGCCCTTCTCCCCTTTCTGCCCTTCCTCAGATAAGCCCCGTGGCAGATACGCTGTTAACAACACAAGTGACCATGCTGATGACCAGGATGGTGACTCCCGGTAAGCACTCTGTCACGATGGGCTGGGTCTGGTTCTGCTAAGTCTGGGCAGAATCACTGTCCTAGGGACTACACTGTTTGTCCCCTGAGAATTCGGGTGTCCCTTTTCTTCATTCATTGAGTATTTCCAGATAGGGCAGATCTGAGGGTTGAACTGCTGCTGCTCTTTAGCTTGCTGAATAATTTGGGCACATGCACTAGTTATGGGTTGTATGGTTGATAAAGCAGGTCTGAAAACAGATGAGATCATGTCCATGAGGATGTTTATCTGCTACAGAGGAAACAGAAGAAAGCAGACCCCTTTATTGCTCTTAGACTTCATTCTTCAAAAAGGTAACCAAAGGTTCGATACAGGTGTCCAAGTACAACACAGTCTTATCCAGGCCTTTGTGGGTGGCCAAACTCTAGTGGTGATTAGGGTGAAGTGGTAGAACACTAGTGTCAAGTGAAAAAGTTAGAGGACTGTGCCCAGGCCCTGAGTTTCAAGATCCAATATGGGAAAAAAAATATGGTAGCTTGGAGTAAATTTATCTGTTACAGGCCCATAGGAGGCCTTTACTGCGGCGCCCTGGTGCTCTGCCTATGCCACAGGCCAGCCTGGAGCAGGACAGCCACCCCTCCCTGCGCCTCTCCCTTGCTCTGGATATGAGGGTTACTCAGAAAGTGCTCTTGTGCAAGGCGTTTCCCAGGAAGGCCAGTAGTGCCTACTTCCTGAAGTTGGTGTTCAGAGACTTAAAGATGAAATGACCTAAAGGATGTTTTCAAGATGATTAGTTCAGTATTTAATATAATGAAGGAGGAAAACCATGGGGTGCTTCTCTTTAGAATTTATTTTATTAATGGGCCTGGGAAGGTAGCTCAGTGGTAGAGCGCTTGCCTTGCATGTATGAGGCCCTGGGTTCTGCTACTTCTGAATCCTGAGTCAGTTCAGTGGATGGTAGAGTTTGTTTAGATCGGGTGTGAGTTACTGGTATTGAGCCAGTGGCTAGCAGAAGTGTTTGCTGGACTTAACTACCACACAGCGGGTTCCTCACACACATGACAGGCCAAGGGGGCAGTGTGGCTTTTGTAGAAAGCCTGTGGTGCCTCCATCTAAGACTCCGAGAGCGAGCATGCTCTGAGGAAGGAGACCTAGGAACTGCCCATGGGTCCTGAAAGTTCTAGAAAGTCTTCAACAAAATTAATGTTGGAAGATTTGACCGTACCCTGACTGTACAAGAGACACAGCAGCCCATTCTGACCAGTCTGGTTTGTTTGTGGGTCCAGGGCCCTAGGATGGTTGGAGGATCTTGTCAGGTCTGGAGTAAGGCTGGGAAGCAGCATGAGCCTTCTGGGCCTGGAACACCGAGCCCCCACCTGCGTGAGGCCCGCTTGGGAAAGTCCACAGCTGCTTCTCTTGCATTTTATCCGTGTATCAGTTGACATCACCAGGGTTCTTGCTTCTGACTGCCTCCCTCTTTTATTTATTTATTTACTTTTTGTCAGTTGTGGGGCTTAAACTCGGGGCCTGGGTGCTGAGCCTCTCTGTGCTCAAGGCAAACGCTCTACCACTTGAGCCACAGTACCACTTCCAGTTTTTGAATGGTTAATTGAGATAAGAGTCTCATAGTGACTTTTCATCCAGAGTTGGCTTTGAACTGCAATCCTCAGATCTCAGCCTCCTGTAGCTAGGATTACAGGTGTGAGCCACTGGTACCTGGCTGCCTCCCTTCTTAAAGCCCTATTTAGGACTTGGATATAACCCAATGACCTTCTTCCTAGATTTTTTTTTAACTCTAGCTTATCTTGTGTGTGTGTGTGAGAGAGAGAAAGAGAGAGAGAGAGAGACAGAGACAGAGAGAGGAGGACAGAGGATGTCAGTTTCTTGAGGCTTGAACTCATAGCCTGGGTGCTGTCCCTGAACTTTTGTGCTCAAGGCTAGTAAAGGCAGGTAACTAGGGTTACAGGATGGGAGTCACTGGTGCCCAGCTTACTGTTTGCTATATTTGAGTGGCGCTACAGCAGCTGTTGAAGTTGATCTTCCTGAGATTGATTATTCATTATGATGAAATTAGTCCCCCCTCCCTCCAATGGACAGCCTCCAGGAGAGAAGCATGCTCTAGGAAAGAAGAAGCACACTGGAATATCTGTGTCTCGCTGACTTTTCAGGATTGTGGACTAAGTAGATCTCCTTGTCTGGGGCAGAGTATGGCCCTAGGGACACTGGAGCCACTTTCCCCAAGACATGATGCCCTCCTGACCTGGGAATTAGAAATGCTTTCTTTGGTGGATTGGTGAGCACAGGTCTTTTCCTTCCAGGCCCAAGTCAGTACCAGTGGGGAGTGCACCGAGGTGTCCAGAGCAGAGGCCCCAGTCCTTGGGCTCTTGAGATAAGAGGCAGCCCCACACCCAGTGCTCTGCTCCTGCAGGAGGCTCCCTTATCTGGGTCCCCCAGGCTAGGAGGCCAGGCTTACCAATGGGGAGGCTCACACAGTAGCACCTTGGAAGAGCTGAAGGCCTCCCCATATCCGAGTGGTTCCCACTTCCTCACTGTGCATCCCTCCGGTCCTGCAACAGGGCATGTGTAAAATGTGGAAAGCTTTAAGGGTTTGGGATAAGGGAAAGGCTGGGCAGCTGTGCCCTGAGAAAGGCCTTTAGCAGTCCACACCCATCACTGAGCACTGTAGGACAGGGCAGAGGTCCTGGAGGTTGAGCCAGAGGTTTAGTCCAGCAGCCTGAGTGTTGTCTGGGAGAGGTTCCTCCCCTGAGGTCAGTACCACATCTAACTGACCCACCTGTCAACGCACACTCCAGGTGTTTCCCTCCTAATTTCTTACAGCATGCAAGAGATGGCAGCACGTGCCTCCAGCCTGTGTGTCTCCTGCCTTTTACCTGTAATTCTGGTGATTTTACACTCATAACCTGGGGCTTGCTGCAAGACCTGCCCATCAGCACTGGGGCAGAGCAGTGCCACTGAGACCCTCCCATTTAGGGGTGTTGGGTGCTAGCATATGTGGTTAGTTTATTGTCATCCTCTCTTTTAATTTTCAGGTTTTCAGATGTTATTCTAGCAACCATTTTGGCAACCAAGTCTGAAATGTGTGGCCAAAAGTTTGAACTGAAGATCGATAATGTGCGGTTTGTGGGGCACCCAACACTACTGCAGCATGCCTTGGGGCAGGTAGGGCCCTTGGGCAGCTGGGATTGCCTGGGGCAGGCAGGCCTGGCCCTGTCTGGTTCTGGGGGCTTCAAATCTGAGCTCATAAGGGCTCTGGCTCATAAGGGTCAGACCCAGCCAGGGTTTGTTATAACTTCATGGGCCACTGGCTGCACCCCCCCCCCGCCCCCCCAGTGTTGTGAGCAAACCTAGGGCTTCCTACATTCTAGGCAAGCACTCTCACTGCTCAGCTTCCCTCTGCCTCCCTGCCATCTACCTTTGCCACTCACATTCTTGGTCTCTATTTACTGTGGCTGTCCCTTTTATACATGGGGTATCTGTCTCCTGAGGAGGACAAGAGAATGAGTTTACCAGCATCTTTCAAACCTCTGAATTTAGGACTGTTTCTATTAAATTATCTATGTATAGCCAGTCTTTTTTTTTTTGGGGGGGGGGTCTGGTCGTGTGCCTGAACTCTGGGCCTGGGCGCTGTCCCTCAGCTCTTCAGCTCAAGGCTAGCGCTCTACCACTTGAGCCACAGCGCCACTTC